GAAATCTGTGACCACACCTACCATGTCTGATAGCATGTTCAAGTACATAGCAGATGGTAATACAGCATGGAAAATAAGAGCTCCGAGTCTCTAAAGGGTAAATAAAGGCTTATCATGCATGATACTTAGTCTTTTGAAGCCTGCAGCTGCATCTATAGAAGAGGAATAAAATGGCCGCTGGTTTAGAGGAATCTTGTGATTATCAACAAATCTTTTCAGTGTTCCTAGCACATTCTGAGTACAGTACTAACATCAATGTTACTTTCAGTGGGGGTGGCCGGGGCCATATGCAATGACATGCATGCAGGAGTGGACAGGAAAAAATGTGCAGTGTTGATTCTCACCTTCCACCCTTGTTTTGAAGTAGAATCTCTCTTTCTGTTTCTTGCTGTTGTGCTGAGTTCTCCGGGATGTCCCGGTCTGTAAATTCTCTCATCTCTGCTTCCCTTCTTGCTGTGGGAGTGCTGGGATGACAGGCACATGCTGTCACATGTGTCTTTTTACATGGGTTCCAGTAGTCTGAACTTAGTCATCAGGCTTGCATGGTGTCTTAGTCAGTGTTCTGTTGCCGTGAAGAGACACCATGACCAAGATGGCTCTTATGAAAGAAAACATTTAATTGAGGGCTTGCTTAGAGTTTCAGAGTCTTAGTCCACTATCATCATGGCAGGGAACATGGTGGCACACTTGACAGTAGAGCAGTAACTGATAGCTAATCTGCAGGCCAAGAGAAAGCCCTGGCGTGGGCATTTTGAAACCTCAGAGTCCTCCCCCAGTGGCATACTTCCTCCAACAAGGCCACACCTACTCCCACAAGCCACTCCTCCTAAATCTTATCAAGTGGTGCCACTCCTGATAAGTAAGCATTCCGATATTTGAGCCAATGGGGGTCATTTGTATTCAAACCACCACATATGGAAAACACTTTTATTCAATGAACCTCTATCACCCCCACCCCTGCTTGCTTGCTCCTTCCTTCCTTCCTTCCTTCCTTCCTTCCTTCCTTCCTTCCTATCTGTCTATCTGTCTGTCTTTCTCACTCTCTTTGAATAGAATTTCGTTTTATAGGCTAGGCTAGCTTTGTGTAGCTGCAGGCCTCCTTCACCAGCCTCCCAAGAGCTGACAGAGGGACAGAGGACAGAGGACAATGAGCCACCACGACTCCTGTCTGTTTTCTGCTGTTCTACAGACCTAGTTAGAGTCCAGGTCTATAAGGACATCTCATCACCGAGCTCCACTCTGATATAATTATGGATGCACGATTTGGAAAATACTAATATGTGTCCATGTTAGGCCAGATACACATCTTATTGGCAGGTCTATTTGTTTGAGACAAGGTTAACTTACTAGGTAGCTGAGCTGGCCTTGAACTTGTGATTCTCTTTCCTTGCCTTCCCAAGTACTGAGATTATAGGCATGTGCCACCATACCCAGCTAAGACAAGAAACCTTTATGATTTAGCTGAACACGTGAACTACAAGCTAAGCCCCAAAGGAAAGAACTAGATAGCTAAAGTTTATATATTGCCTGGAAAGAAAGTCAAGATTGCAGAAGAAGATGGTGTGGGTTATAGGAGGGGGAAGAGTGAAAGCTGTTCAGTTATGAAGCTAAATTTTCAGCCTCAGTTGCTTGTGGTTTGTCAGGAGAGGCCTCTGAGCTCTTTTTCACTGTGGTTTCCTAGTCAAGAAGAGTCCTCTGGCATCTGCTGCCTCCCTAACTAAGGTGCACTGGTATAAATTTCATTCACGGAGGAGCAGGTGATGTTTGAAATTGGGCTGGGTTTCTCTGAATTGCCATTTCAAGATACACCAAAGAAATAAGTTTCAAACGGGGCATACTCTGGGGTCCTGCATGTGCTGAGAGAAGTAAATGGGGTGTGTTTGTGAAGAGTTCCAGAAGAGGGCCACCCTCCGTGTGTGCAACCCAGACCTGGGTGATAACAAGGATCTAGACACACAGTAAGTGGAGTAGGCCTGGATGGCATTAGGAGCAGGGAAAAGAAAAGGGAAGGGAAGAGTGGTCCTGAGACAGGAAGAATAAATGTGACAGACAGGATGAGGAGGAGACATGAGCAGCTACCACAGCCTGTAAGCAGGGCAGTGATAGGCCCCAAGTAACTTCTAAAGTCTTCACTGCTGGGCAACAAGGGCATGAATGAGCACTTGGCCTGTGTGGGAACCTGGAGGGGGGTTATGAAGTTGTGGGATAGAGGGGTGGCTGGGATCTTTGTGGGACCAAAAATAAGGCTGATGTATCAGAAGGTCCCCAGTCACCTGAACAGGCATAGCCTTTATCGATAAGAGCCTGGCAAGATGCAGAGAAGTTACAGGGTCCAACCTGACTTTTGGAAGAACTGTTCCCGCTTGTGAGAGTGATGTTTGCGAAGCAGGAGATGGGAATCTGTTTACATCTGAAGACACTGATTACTCATTGTACACCAATCACAACTGGAGAAAGTCAGACAATGGTCTGCATTCTCCAAGGTCTCTCTCTCTCTCTCTCTCTCTCTCTCTCTCTCTCTATGCCTTGTGTGTGTGACTGCAAGGGTCAAGGGTCAAAGTTCACCTTTGAGTGTCTTCTTCAACCATTATTCACCGTATTTTACAGCACTGCATACCCCACCTTCTTTTAAACATGTTTTTTACACACTGGGGATGCAAACTCAGGACCTCTGCTTTCAGGGCCAGCACTTTACCAGCTGAACCCTCTCCACAGTCCCTTCTCTAGGAACTTCCAAGAGATATTTTTTACATCAGGCTGGGTGATCCATGAACGTAAGGAAAGAAGGAAGGCACGGGAACACCTGTCTCTGCTCCTGCCTTGTGGGTGACTAATGTTTTGGTACCCGAGCAAACCTGGAAAGAGGATTTGCCAAACAGGACAGTCCATGGCACTGGAAACTCCAGCTGCCAGTGGGACAAAGTGGCAGGGTCTACTCTAAGAATGGCAACAAAGTGTGCAAGAGAAATGCTACAGGCTTGAACTTCAGCTCAGTTTTGCAGTCAAAACATGTTGGAATTGGAAATAAACTGCTTGCGTGCAACTCAGTATTCACCCTAGCTTGTGTAAGGTCTTAAATTCAGTTCCCAGCACCAAAAAAAAAAAAAAAAAATGGGGCAAATAAGAAATAAAACTGCCTCTAACAGTCCCAGGAAGAGAGGAGATGCCTTCAGTCACTTGTAAAAAGAGTTGGACCTTGTGTTAGGACACCCCCTGAGGTCACAAAAAGTCCTGAAACAGAATATGATTCAAATCCAGTTTCCCATTCCTTAGATTTAGATTCTCATGTCAAGACCCCTGGGCTCTTGATCCTATCACCTGAAATGAGACTGGTGGCCCTTACTATGGATCCTCGACTCCCCTGCCTGCCAACAGTACTTGAAAAGGGTTCTCCTCCGTTGAGTGTGAGACCTCCTGAACTGTCAGAAATTCTCGCCAGTGATCCTAAAAGGAGACTACGAATGTAGTGCGGGAGAGACAACAGGATGTGAGCTGGTGTAAGACTCAGTGGCGGAGCTGTTGCCCAGCGTGGACATGCTTAGGTTCCACCCTCCACATAGATGCAAGGGTTTGTTCTCTTGGTAAAGTTCATGAGTCTTCAGTGCCTGGGGCAGCCTGGCAATAATGGCACAGGCATGGAATGTCTCCTTGCACTGGGGTGGGATGAAATCTCACCTCTGGCCTAGAGGGTAAATGGATGTATCCTGAGAACCAAATAAGTGGGTAGGTTCTGAACAAAGATTGAAACAAGCAGTCTTTCGCTAAGTGGGTGCTTGTGCCCGGTTCTTTTATTTTATCAACTGTGTTTTGACAATTAGTGGGGGGAAAAAATGTGTCTAAAGCAATTTGAACTCCTCAGGCAGTAAACATTTAGACAGACAATGTGAATTGAGTTATTGTTCTTTTGAGTTTCTTTTCTTTCCTTTTTTTGAAAGGGAGCCGAGCTGGCTCCTTTGCCTCCCCCAGGTCTCTGGAAATGGAAGTCTCCCTCTCCCAGGGACAGAGCGAATCCTTAACAATAGCCCTATGACTAGGTTATCTTACAGCCACCTCCATTCCCCAAGAGTTAAGGAGAGATTAACATTCAGGACAATTGGACTAGATCGAGGTGGGGGGGGGGGGGGAGCTACGCCTCCAGCCATCGGATCTGTGTTCTCAGGCTCGCAGGGTAGGAGAGGGTCTCGCGTTATGGGGTGGGTCTGGGTAGGTTTGGGTGTCTTGTAAAGAAGTGGGGGTCCTCCAGCTCACAATCACCCTCCTCAGCATCTCTGCGCGCGCTTCTGATGCGCGCAACCTCTCTGGTCTGCGAGCTAACTTTGCATCGCTTGCGGGTGCGGCTAGGAGCAGTGGGAAAGAAGCCAGAGGCAGTTCAGCGGGTGACTTGGGGTGTCCTTGGCTGGCCCGGGTCCCGGGGAAGCAGAAGATCTCATTGTCCTGGGATCCGGTGGCGAAAGGAGGCCCCGCCAGCGGGCGCGCGCTCAGTCCCTGCTTTGCAAAGGATTGAACGGCCACCCCACCAGACTCCAGTACAGGGCACCATGCGGCGGACCCGGCGCCGCGGGCCGCGGGTCCCC